CGCTTATATAATGTAATAGGTATCGTTTATATAATGTAATAGGTAGTGGTTATATTGTAAAGTGTCTATCCTTTTTATAAAAGTGTCAATACTTTTTTCACTGTGGAAAACATTAATTTAAGGTTATCTTTTGAGTGAGTTTTAAGATATTAATTTAGTAATTATAGGCATCTAATGATTTATTTTTTACGTTACGATATATAATATTATTAAATTAAAAATTCTAAATAATATTTTATAAAATATCAAAACAATCAAATAATTTTTTGTGCAAATGAAATTATTAAATTAATATTGTAGGTGGAAAACATGAAACACTATTAAAAAAATTGAAACATAAATTACATAACTTTAAAAGAAGTATCGATCCTTTTTATAAAAAGTATGGACACTTTCAATATAATAGGTAAAAATATGATGTAATAGGTAGCGCTTATATAATGTAATAGGTATCGTTTATATAATGTAATAGGTAGTTGTTATATTGTAAAGTGTCTATCCTTTTTATAAAAGTGTCCATACTTTTTTCACTGTGGAAAACATTAATTTAAGGTTATCTTTTGAGTGAGTTTTAAGATATTAATTTAGTAATTATAGGCGTCTAATGATTTATTTTTTACGTTACGATATATATTATTATTAAATTAAAAATTCTAAATAATATTTTATAAAGTATCAAAACAATCAAATAATTTTTTGTGCAAATAAAATTATTAAATTAATATTGTAGGTGGAAAACATAAAACACTATTAAAAAAAATGGAAACATAAATTACATAACTTTAAAAGAAGTATCGATCCTTTTTATAAAAAGTATGGACACTTTCAATATAATAGGTAAAAATATAATGTATTAGGTAGCGCTTATATAATGTAATAGGTAGCGTTTATATAATGTAATAGGTAGTGCTTATATTGTAAAATATCTATCATTTTTATAAAAGTGTCCATACTTTTTTCACTGTGGAAAACATTAATTTAAGGTTATCTTTTGAGTGAGTTTTAAGATATTAATTTAGTAATTATAGGCGTCTAATGATTTATTTTTTACGTTACGATATATATTATTATTAAATTAAAAATTCTAAATATTATTTTATAAAATATCAAAACAATCAAATAATTTTTTGTGCAAATGAAATTATTAAATCAAATTACTTTATTCCAACCATGTGACAAGTGTGACAACTCCATCAACTCACAACTCAGCTTTGAACTCAATCAATATTGTCTTTTAGCTTGATGGTTCATAAAGCATGTTACTTGAACAGTATGAATCAATTATGCAATTTTCATGTTCAATTTAACACTGCATTTCAAATTCATTTCATATGTAATTGGAGTTTGAATTTAAATTTCAATTTGAGTTTGAATTTCAATATATATTTCGGCTCCACTATAAATATTAGCCCAAGCCAATATGCATGTTATCATTGATTATTCCTAATTTCCATTGTTTTTTTCCAACGTTTAAACGCGAGGGAAATCCCGACCATTGTATTTTTTGGTCAACTTTAAAGCGTCAGAAACGTTTCGGGCGTATGATCTGGGTGGTAAACAAATAGCAACTAAAATCATAAGTCCGAAATGCTTCTGAGTACCACCCAAATCATAAGTCTGAAATACTTCCGATGCTCATCAAAATCCAAAGCTCATATGGTGCCAAGCAAAAGGAAATCAAAATTCAAATCTCATATGATGCCAAGCAAAAGGAAATCAAAATCTACAACTTGAGTTTGAACATTGATATGATATGTTCAGTTGTTATCATGTTGGGATTTTCTCGTTTTTGATTGCTTGGATAGTTGTTCTCTTGCTTCTTCAAGTGTCCTTAGCTTGTAATTTATAGCTTGGAATGTGTTTGATGTTGTATATATTATTATTAAATTAAAAACAATAAACATATATATTACATATTTATTATTATCTTTGGTTAATGTTGTTAAATTAAAAATTCTAAATAATATTTTATAAAATATCAAAACAATCAAATAATTTTTTGTGCAAATGAAATTATTAAATTAATATTGTAGGTGGAAAACATGAAACACTATTAAAAAAATTGAAACATAAATTACATAACTTTAAAAGAAGTATCGATCCTTTTTATAAAAAGTATGGACACTTTCAATATAATAGGTAAAAATATGATGTAATAGGTAGCGCTTATATAATGTAATAGGTATCGTTTATATAATGTAATAGGTAGTGGTTATATTGTAAAGTGTCTATCCTTTTTATAAAAGTGTCAATACTTTTTTCACTGTGGAAAACATTAATTTAAGATTATCTTTTGAGTGAGTTTTAAGATATTAATTTAGTAATTATAGGCGTCTAATGATTTATTTTTTACGTTACGATATATTATTATTAAATTAAAAATTCTAAATAAAATTTTATAAAATATCAAAACAATCAAATAATTTTTTGTGCAAATGAAATTATTAAATTAATATTGTAGGTGGAAAACATGAAACACTATTAAAAAAAATTGAAACATAAATTACATAACTTTAAAAGAAGTATCGATCCTTTTTATAAAAAGTATGAACACTTTCAATATAATAGGTAAAAATATGATGTAATAGGTAGCGCTTATATAATGTAATAGGTATCGTTTATATAATGTAATAGGTAGTGGTTATATTGTAAAGTGTCTATCCTTTTTATAAAAGTGTCCATACTTTTTTCACTGTGGAAAACATTAATTTAAGGTTATCTTTTGAGTGAGTTTTAAGATATTAATTTAGTAATTATAGGCGTCTAATGATTTATTTTTTACGTTACGATATATATTATTATTAAATTAAAAATTCTAAATAATATTTTATAAAATATCAAAACAATCAAATAATTTTTTGTGCAAATGAAATTATTAAATTAATATTGTAGGTGGAAAACATGAAACACTATTAAAAAAATTGAAACATAAATTACATAACTTTAAAAGAAGTATCGATCTTTTTTTATAAAAAGTATGGACACTTTCAATATAATAGGTAAAAATATGATGTAATAGGTAGCGCTTATATAATGTAATATGTATCGTTTATATAATGTAATAGGTAGTGGTTATATTGTAAAGTGTCTATCCTTTTTATAAAAGTGTCAATACTTTTTTCACTGTGGAAAACATTAATTTAAGGTTATCTTTTGAGTGAGGTTTAAGATATTAATTTAGTAATTATAGGCGTCTAATGATTTATTTTTTTACGTTACGATATATATTATTATTAAATTAAAAATTCTAAATAATATTTTATAAAATATCAAAACAATCAAATAATTTTTTGTGCAAATGAAATTATTAAATTAATATTGTAGGTGGAAAACATGAAACACTATTAAAAAAATTGAAACATAAATTACATAACTTTAAAAGAAGTATCGATCCTTTTTATAAAAAGTATAGACACTTTCAATATAATAGGTAAAAATATGATGTAATAGGTAGCGCTTATATAATGTAATAGGTATCGTTTATATAATGTAATAGGTAGTTGTTATATTGTAAAGTGTCTATCCTTTTTATAAAAGTGTCCATACTTTTTTTACTGTGGAAAACATTAATTTAAGGTTATCTTTTGAGTGAGTTTTAAGATATTAATTTAGTAATTATAGGCGTCTAATGATTTATTTTTTACGTTACGATATATATTATTATTAAATTAAAAATTCTAAATAATATTTTATAAAGTATCAAAACAATCAAATAATTTTTTGTGCAAATGAAATTATTAAATTAATATTGTAGATGGAAAACATAAAACACTATTAAAAAAATGGAAACATAAATTACATAACTTTAAAAGAAGTATCGATCATTTTTATAAAAAGTATGGACACTTTCAATATAATAAGTAAAAATATAATGTATTAGGTAGCGCTTATATAATGTAATAGGTAGCGTTTATATAATGTAATAGGTAGTGCTTATATTGTAAAGTATCTATCATTTTTATAAAAGTGTCCATACTTTTTTTACTGTGGAAAACATTAATTTAAGGTTATCTTTTGAGTGAGTTTTAAGATATTAATTTAGTAATTGTAGGCGTCTAATGATTTATTTTTTACGTTACGATATATATTATTATTAAATTAAAAATTCTAAATATTATTTTATAAAATATCAAAAACAATCAAATAATTTTTTGTGCAAATGAAATTATTAAATTAATATTGTAGGCGGAAAACATGAAACACTATTAAAAAAAATTGAAATATAAATTACATAACTTTAAAAGAAGTATCGATCATTTTTATAAAAAGTATGGACACTTTCAATATAATATAATGTAATAAGTAAATTTGTAATGCTATCGATATAAATATACCGTTTACTTATAAAATAGGTAAATATAAGCGTTACCTATTACATTATATAAGCGCTACCTAGTATGTTATTGTACTTTATAATATTTCCGGTTAAATAATATAACATAGCCGGTCTAAATTTTAACCGATCATTTATTTAACCGATCATACCATATATTAACCGTTTTTTAGACGCCGCACCGTAGAACTACCCTAGTTGAGGTAGTAAAAACATATTGAAGTCACGCAGCAAAAGGGTTAGGCTGAGGAGTCAATGTTCGCCAATAATAGCAGTGCAGGGCCGAATGAGATTATGCAGTTTAAGTCAAAGAAGGGGGAAGCAGGGATGGGGAAATCAAAGAAAGTGGTTGTAAAAATCCGAAAAAGAGGAAAAAAAAAAGAATTCGTTGAAGGGTGGTAGAAAGAATTCGAGGAAGTTGAGCCAATCAGGTAAAGGTGATGCTGTCTTTCCATGAGAGGTCGAATCCTTTTCTCCTGGGAACGGTGATATGTATCCTAAGAGATCTTAGCCACGATCAAGGTGGGGAAAAGTCTTGGGGTAGAGTTTGATGGCTCAAGCAAGAGTATAATCGCAAGATTCAGTAACCACGATGACGGGGAAGGAAACTGACTAGAGCGGATAAGTTGTGAAATCATCTTTCTGTGTGTTTTATACCCGACTGATTATGCCTTTTACAATTGTCTTGTGGAATGTTCGTGGACTTGGTAAGAAAGACAAAGTCACAGCTGTATGTAGTTCAATCTCAACAAGTAAAGCTAGAGTAGTGTTTATTCAAGAATCGAAAATGGAGATGGAAAATAAATCTGTGGTTAAACGGTTAATGGGTAAGAATTTCCATGAAAGGGTTATTGTACCATCCGAGGTTGCTTCGAGTGGTCTTATTTCGTTATGGGATGCAGATTTCTTCTCAATGGAAAGTAAACAAGTATCAAGAAGATTGATTGTTTTGGAGGGTAAGTTAATTCACAGTAATTTGAAGGTGGGATTAATCAACGTGTATGCCCTGAACGATCACGCTGAACGTAGAGAGTTTCTGCTGAACTTGAACGAGTTGAGGTTACCAGTTATAATCGGAGGAGATTTCAACACGGTTAGATCGGATGATGAAAAATTGGGAGGCCTGGTTAATGTGGAGGCATCAAAGGTGTTCTCAGATTTCGTTCTTGGCAGGAACCTTATTGATTTACCTTTGGAGGGAAGTGCTTACACTTGATTCAGAGGAGGCTCGTCAGTGACTTCTTGTAGGCTCGATAGATTCTTAGTGTCTCCGGAGGTCTTGATGTGTTATCCCGGTCTATCCCAAAGCACGCTCACCAGGAGCTTATCTGACCACAATCCGGTGATGTTGAAAGTGAGTAGCGATATCATTGGTCCTCGATCGTTTAAGTGGTTCTCGAAATGGGCTGAAGACAAAGAATATGTTAAAAATGTGCGATCAGTGAGTCAAGATGGCCGTGGTAAAGGAATTAGCGTTATTTTGAAGAAGGTGAAAGTGACTACTAAGGAGTGGGCGTTGAATGCTAAATCTAAAGAGTCGGAGTCGATTAAAGACCTGGAGAAAAAACTTGAAGCATTGGAAAAAAATAACATTGTCGTCGGTGAAGGGCTGTTGGGAGAGATTCGTTTGTTGAAGAACAGGTTATGGGCAAGGTACATAAGTGAAGAAAGAGTCTGGATTCAGAAATCAAGAGTGAAGTGGTTCAAAGCATGCGATCGAAACACGAAGTATTTTCATTCAACTGCATCGCTTAGAAGAGTACAAACAGAATTTCTAGTATTCGTGTAGGAGAAGAGGTTATTAAAGACCCAAATGCGATAGCGAGAGTGTTTGAAGAATACTTCAAGATAAGCTACAATGAATCTTCAACGTTGCCACTGAAAATATTTGATGTAAAGCTATGTAAACTTCAGGTGTCCTGTAGGAGAGCAATTGAATCCCCATTTACCGAAGAAGAGGTGTGGTGAGTGGACTGACGGGTCTAGAGCGCCGGGGCTGGATGGCTTCAATTGGGATTTTTAAAGAAATTTTGGTGGGACCTCAAAGATGAAATTATGGCATTCTTTGCTTTGTTTTTCGAGGGGAAGTTGGTGGATTTATCCGTAAACCATTCTTTTATCTCCTTGGGGCCTAAGAAGAAGTCTCCAGAGTGTGTGGAAGAGTTTAAACCCATCTCTTTGGTGGGTAGCTTATACAAGATTTTAGCTAAAGTACTGTCAAAAAGACTTGCAGGGTGTATTAACGAAGAGGTGGGAAATTCCCAATTTGCTTTCATTGCAGGGAGGCAAATAACGGATTTTGTACTTATTGCTAATGAATTGGTCGATGATTTACATAGGAGAAAACGTGAAGTTGTGGTGTTAAATGCATACTTCCAAAGAGCGTATGATTCGATGGACTGGAGGTTTTTGGATTTCATTTTATTCCTCATGGGTTTTGGAAAGAGATGGAGATGGTGGATACAACTGTGTTTGGATGCAACATCGATATTGGTTCTTGTGAATGGTATCCCGACAAATAAATTTAAGATTAGCAAGGGCTTAAGATAGGGATGTTCATTGTCCCCCCTCTTTAATATGGTGGGGAAGCATTGAGTGGGTTGATTAAAAAAGCAGTTAATGGTGGATTGATTGTGGGAGTTCGTGTGAGATGTAGTGGCTTGAAAATTTCACATATACAATTTGCGGATAACCTCATAGTGTTTTCAGCCAAGAATTTGGAGTCAGTAAAAAATACAAAGAGACTTTTGAGAGTGTTTGAGGTGGCATCTGGTTTAAGACTAAATATTCAGAAAACAAAGCTATTTGGTGTCAATATGGATGATAATGTCATAGCTACATGGGCGGAAGAGATCAAATGCAGATGGGAGAAGTTTCCAACAAAGTATCTCGGTCTACCGCTTGGTTTTACGAGAAACTCAGTGGATATTTGGAAGCCTGTCATTGAAAAAGTCCGTTCTCGCCTGGAGGGATGGAAAGACAATCTTTTGTCTTTTGGAGGCAGAATAATCATGGTTAAGTCCGTTTTATCCAACCTACCTGTGTACTATCTCTCTTTGTTTTTGATGCCGAGTGCTGTGGCATCCAATTTAAATAATTTAATTGCGAATTTCTTATGGGGTGGTAATGGTGGGAGAAAGATAATTGGGAAAGGGTATGTAAACCGAAGAGCCAAGGTGGTTTGGGGATTGTTGATCTTAGAGTTCGTAACCCTGCTCTTCTCAACAAGTGACTGTGGAGGTTCGCCCGGGAAGCTAATAGTTTGTGGAAAAAAAGAGTGGGAAAATGTGTGAATTCGGATTGAAAATCAATGGGGGGTGGGAGTGGAACATCGAAGTTAGAAGAGTCCTCTTCTCTTGGGAGAAGAGTCCTCTTCTCTTGGGAACTAGACATTTGGGAGGATTTTATGCTAACAATCAATAGAGCAGCAAATGGATTTTGCGAGGTTGAGAAACTAAGGTGGTTGGGTTTTCCTAGTGGTATCTACTCCCCTAGGTACTATTGTGCGAAGGTTGTGGATGGAGGGGGTGAAGCGGATAGGATTTGGAAACTAATTTAGGTGAACCTTGCCCTGTCCTTTGTCTGGAGGGCATATTTGCAAAGAATCTCAGTGTTAAGTGAATTAGCGAAGAGGGATGTTGTCGTATCAAAGTCTTATCTTTGTGTTCTTTGTGCAAAGGAGTGTGAGTCGATGGATCATTTGTTTTGCCATTGCAAAGTAGTTTGCCAATGTGCTTCGGTTCTTTACAACTAGGGGAATCAAATTCTGAAGAAAGTTAGAATAATGTTATGAATATTTATTTCCCAATAGTCTTGTTGAAGGGGGGAAGGTGCGGCGTTAGGATGGATGATTTTTAATAGGGTTTTTGAACAACAGATTGTTATGTTCGTGGAGCCTTTTTGCTTTAGTGTTTGCTGCTTTAATGTTAGATTTATGATTCTTTTGAGTCGAAGATTGGTAGCAGCCGTACTGTCCAGTGGTAGCTGCATTGACATTGGGATGCTATGAGTTGAGTTTTGGATACCAGTTTTTATGATGGGGCCTTGGGTGTGTGGAGGTAAAGCATGCAGTGGTGGCTTTCGTTGTGTTTGTTTTGTATAGCTATGGTGCTTATCTGGGTTGGTGCTTATCATTATCTCTTTTTGGTAGTAGGTTTGTTGGGTGCATATTAGTGATCATTGTGTTTGTATTTTGGTGACGAATATTCTCTTCACAATAACATGGTGCATTCTTTTGCCTTCAACTAGGTTTAGGGAGATTTTTTAACGAAGTCCAAGTTTTCTCTTGTTTTGTATTCCTACTCTTTATTGAATACAAAACTATCCCTTTCGAGATAAAAAAAACTTATGATAAAGCATAGAATAATCCTTATAACAATCCAGGACACACATAACATGTCAATAACTTGAATCACTACTCATATATATACATGTGTATACAATTAGTCTTTCTTGTCATGTAAGCAAATAAATTATTAATTTATATTAACATTTAACTCAATATAATATAAGTTATTATGAATACACATCAGATTCCACAGCCTTCAATATCATCAAAGACCGACTACATAGATACTTCCAACATCGCCAAAATGATTGAAGTCGCACTTAAACTCGTACATAATCTCAAATGGATTCTATGGCATACCACACATATTTGAAACACGACTTTATGTCCAAGGACAATATAACAATATTTTTTAAGTTAATTTATCATTCAAGTTACAAGACATAACATGATAATATTATAATGTGGAGAGATACCTCATTGTGGTAGGTCAGCCTTGTTGGACGATCGGGTGCGTCGTCTTTTGAGAGGGGATGGGCTTTCAGATCTGGTTTCCTCATAGGGGAGTGGTGAAGTAGGTGGAATCGCAATGCAGATTGCTGAGCGTTTGAGGCGACGCTTGGTCCTGGGGGACTAACTTGTTGTGGCGTCACCTTGGCGCTCTCAACTAGGACTTCTAAGGGCTGGATTTCTTCAGTTTCAACAACTGGATTAGTATTTAAATCAGGGGTCTACTCTGGATCGGGCTATTCACCAACTGCCTCAGCAACAACTTCTGCCGGGGCAATCTCATCGAACAATTCTTATGAAAGCACCTCGGTGCTTTTGGAGGAAGTCGGACTGAGATACTCGTTAGTCTATCCTTGTCCTTCTTCAGGAACTGGAGAGAATTACGTGGCAAGTGGGGTGGTTTTCTCTCAAAGTTATCGCCCAAAACAATTTAGTGGGGTTTTGCTCTTCCTCCAATGTGTGAGCCCTGTTCCGAAACTGCCGTGTGTAAAAAGTATCTTAAAAAAACAAAATCACGGAATAAAATATAAATTAAATCTTGCAAATTAAAAGAAAGGAAAAATTATTTATGTACAAAATGCAAAATAGTTTTGCCGAGGTAAAAATTGTTTAGAGTGTATATGCAAACTCTTAGGCGTCATGGAGCAGCAATGATGACTTATCTCGCAGGATGGGTGCTTCGTTATAGGCCTTCAGCCTTTGTCCATTCACTTTAAAGGTTGTCCCATTCTCCAAGTTCTTGATTTCTATTGCGTCGTGGCTATGCACTTGGTTTACTAAGAAAGGTCTTGACCATCTTGACTTCAGCTTGCTTGGAAACAACTTGAGCCATGAATTGTACAGTATTACTTGTTGGCTAGGAAAGAAACTACCGCGGTAAAATTTTTCTGTAGTGCCACCTTTTCGTCTTTTCCTTGTAGAAACGGGCATTCTCATACGCTTGGGTTCTAAATTCATCCATCTCGTTTAGATCCAACAACCTTCTTTCTCCAGCAAGTTGTGCATCCATGTTAAGTTTCTTGATGGCCCAAAATGCTATGTGTTCGAGTTCCATGGGCAAGTGACATGCCTTGCCATAAACTAACTTGAATGGAGACATCCCTAATGGTGTTTTAAATGTTGTTCGATAAGCCCACAGTGCCTCATCGAGCTTTGGCGACCAATCTTTTCTTCTTGGGTTGACCACCTTCTCAAGTATTTGCTTGATCTCGCGGTTGGAGACCTTAGCCTGTCCATTGGTCTGGGGGTGGTATGCCGTGGCAATTTTATGGCACACCTCATATCTTTGCAGCGCCTTGGCAATTAATTTGTTGTCAAAGTGGGTTCTCTCATCACTAATAATTGCTCTTGGTACTCCAAAACGCGTGAATATGTTTTTGTGCAAGAACTTTAGTACGATCTTGGAGTCATTTCTAGGT